TGTGCAGGTTTATTTTTTGTTGTACAAGTTAAAACGCGAGACCTAGGGTTCAAAGTGATTGGGAACGGGTTGTGTCATGTGTTGCCTCCGGTTTGGCCACATTACCAATTGACCTTTCGAGTTTTTTCTTATTGTTTATTAAATTGACCTTTCGAGTTCCCTTTTAAAATTTTACAAATAAGCAATGTTCTTCAAATCGTCTCGGTAGGTAACGAGATCCAGATCTTCCTCCTATCAACAACTTCTGGAGTTTTGCTTCTTTTATACAGATCCTTAAGAAATCAATAAAAATGTTCAAAAAAACAAATTAAGTAATGTTTTTATATGATTGCCTCCTGCATGACGTTTCACGTTATGACACGTGTACGAGGGAGTTGATTTGCTTGCGAACATATCACAGACTATTTGATCTGATAATCGTGAAATGGACTTTTTAACATTGGCATTTATCACCAATCATTTTGTCAAACTATTAACATAATAACCGTTCTTTCTGCGGCGATCTAATTAATCTGGACAGAAATATAGTACTAGATCCAGAGGTCCCCTCTTCTCACTTCAATTTCAATCATCATTTAGCAACAAACAAATAATAATAATAGTACTACATTTATTTATTATATTTGTTTTTGAAATTTAATGAACCATCTATCATCAATATTATTTTGCATAGTAATTTTCAAACTTAATTATTTTATAATTATAACTTTTCTTTTTTAATCTTTCCTCGGATTGCCAATTTTATGAATGAATGTTGAAAAAACACATGATTCTACTTTGGAAATTTTTATTAATTTTTTCTCGTTTTTTATTTTTATGTTCAAGTCTCACATTTTCTTGATTTCACATAATTCATATTCCATTAACTTTCATTATAACACATTCCCTCTTCTGTTCTTTTAAAAATGGTAAATGAAAAAAAAAATAGTAAGTGAAAACGAATAATGAAAGTAATAGTATTCAGTAGTGATAACAAGATAAACGTATCCTATTTTCAGATATTTGAATTAAGTCGTATTCACATTTTTCCTTATGTATGCTACGATTTACTTAAGTATTCACAATTTAATGGTAGTGAAAACAAATAAGAAATATTAATAATTATTTAAAAAAGGAAAAGTTACCAATGATTTGAAAATTTTAAGCGAAAATAAGTTAAGTATTTGTTTTTTTTTTTGTAAAAGAAGAAAGGTATAGATATATTACCATTTTATCACATCGCACATGCATGCTAAAAATGCTGTAAGCATCGATAGTAGTAAACGATTATTTCCATTCCAACATTGTTGCAAAATGCAAATTTTATTACATTCTCACAAATATTAATGCCAGCAACAATATCAAAAGAAACAAACCGAAGAAAACAACGTAACCAAAAGAAGAATACTTGCATGCATATTCCACATACACTTATTAAAATTAAGCAAAATAAAGAAACATAAAACTCCAACGTTTTAGATCACACAAAGCCAGAAAGGTTTTACTCGGCTTTATCACCTTCCTTCTCTCCTCCCTCCTCATGCGGCGGAGACCTATTGAGATCAATTTTTGAAGAGGCACCAGAACCACTTGCCTCCTCTTCATTCTCCAATAAAGCAACGTTCAGATCAACCTCTAACCCTCCAGTGCCATAACCAGAC